GAACCTTCCGGCGACCGGTGATAACTAGATGGCACGCTGTGACCTCTTAGTTCCTTTTCGTTTAGTTTTTCTGAATCTTTCGAAAACTTTTGGGTCAGTCTCACAAACCAATCTCATACGCAAAACAACGAGGTTGAGTATCATCGGTCAGGCGCTCTTCTGGACGCAGAACTATATGGACGGCGGAGAATCCTGTACGAAAGTCGACAGAGTTTGCTGAACCTGGAAAACATCATCATCTGGTATTCTAAAAGTAGCGATCCAAAGTCAGTTTCTGTTCTTTTTTTCTGGGCGCCCTTCCCTTGAGTCTTAGCCCTCCGATTCCACTCCTAGACGATGATGCTAAGTTACGGGGTGCTGTGACTCCCAAACCAGAATCAGGTGAGGTACAAAGTTATCTCAGATTACCTACAGTGCCCAGCAAACTTGATTATGATTTCTATCTGTTGTAAACTTTGTATCCACTATTCACTGCTATTGAACAAAGAATAACTTTTAGTGTACTCGTTGAATTTTGCCCAATTGACTTGCCTACCAGACTGCTTGGAATAAACTCTCTGTACTTCTGCCACTGCTTTCTTTGTTGCTACGTCGTGGTTGTCTAAAGTAAAATTGTCCCGAGCGTTAGCCACAAGCCCCTGGGTCCAAAATGCTTACAATGTGGACAAATGAGGTCGAGCTGGCATTTAACCCGGATAAATACCTAACCATGTTTATTTGCACTCTAGACTACCAGAAAGCATCATAATCTCTGAGTGGCAAGCATATTCCCGGCACAACCACGGCGAAAGACCCTAGACTAATGTTGTCTGGTAAGCCAGGCAGTTGTTCCAACACGCGAGGAGATACCTCCTGAGCCTGTGCAGTACTCAGCTTCGTGCGCAGACAACCAAATGCACTCACCTTGGAACTCTTTAGGAGGTCCTAGTAGACCTATATATGACCTCACTTAGATGTCCATAAAGTCGCTGCACCGCCATGCCTGAATAGTGATGTTCCGTCTGTCACTGGCTTCCAAAAGAGGTTGGGAGTCTACCCTGCGACAAACGGCTTACACCAATCCACCTGGGATACAGACTTGGTCAGTATAGCCAACTAATTCCACGGAATGCAGAACAGTCGACACTCCACCGAATATTTTGTGCTGCGGCTATCACCGCGAACCTGAACTAACCTTATGCCTTCCCGTTAGACCTACCGACTTGAGCTACCATGCACCGCTAACCAGATCTTTAGTTCTACATGTACCTTCTCCTCCCTGTAACTGTATAATCTCACCTTATTTGGTAAAGCCGTCCTTGTCACAATCTTCTTTCCCATCTCTCCTGAATCTGTCTAGATCTCCTGCTTCTGTTCGTTTTTTGTCTGTCCATATTGTTTCCTCCCACTTAATCTCCCATATTTTCGCTGCGCATCTTTTCATCCCTCTCTTTTTTCACCACTAGTCCAAACAACTGCCTAGTGGCACAGGTTTGAAGGGTTCATTCACACCATATTTTGGACGAATCTTGAAACCTCTACAACTTGAATCAATATGCAATCACCTGTCTGGTATACCAGAGCCACAAAAGGCAAGTGGGTAGACCTACTGCATCGGAATCCATCAAAGAGCTGGAATGGTTCGGCAAGACTTGAGAGCAAGCGCGAACAGATCAACTGCTTGACGCAAGGTCAGTAAAATATGACGGAAATTGAAATCCTACCTCTGCAAGGCAGTACAAGCATATAAATAGTCAGTTCATGACAGCATAAATTTTATTCAACCTAACTCAGATTCACTTTTCATATTGTAATTATTATCGCTTTCTATGTAGTCAGTTACTATCAGGATTATCTGTCGACTTATTTGGTCTGCCGCGAATGGTTAATTCATGAAATCGACGACTGTCGAAACACAGATTTTGATTGAACATAGAATGACATTGAGTACCTGAATTAAAAAATTTAAAATTAGCCAAGGTCAGATGTAGCCACATGTTTTATGTGTAGTCACTTCCCTATCGCTAAAATTTTCACTTAAATGACAGTGTTTTTGTAGTAGTAAAATGCTCTCGTAATTAGTGATGTTGACCGTAACTTGTTCTTAATTAAGGAATACGCGCTTGCTCATGTGCACGTAGAACTCTATGTGAGTTCTGATTTGTGGTTTACGGATGGGAAGTAGTGATTTTATTTTAATATTTTTCAGCAGATACTCGTGTTTGTTTTATGAGTAAACTGATGACATGGTTTCAATAAGAAGCTACCATATTCCCACTCGTCCTATAATGTTATCTATTCCGCTTCCTTCTAACTTTACGTTCTCAAACTTTAACAAAAGCTCTCCCTATCACCCCTTCCCCATAAACCAACAAATGTTTCTTCTCTGACGCTTTCTTCCTAATCTTTTCTTTCTTTTTTCCTTTTCTTTTTCTGTTTGTTTCTCTCCGCACTTTCTCTCCCTTGATTTCTCTGCACATATTTTGCATCTCCTTTTTACAACCAGTCTGACCAATTGTCTACTGGCACGAAACTTGAGGAAACCGTCTGCTTCTCAGTCCTAGGAGGAAAAAACAACCAACACCCTACAAATTTAACCAACACCCAACCGCCCGTCGGGCTAACCAGAGCTACAGCAGTCAAGTGCGTAGACCTACTGCATTGGAATCCACCAAAGACCTGGGACCGTCCCGCAAGACCTAGAAGCGAGCGCGAAGAGATCTATTGGTTTACACTAGCTCGTAAAAAGATATTGGAAATTGGGACTGGTTGTACTCGTTTTTGCAAACCAGCCCAGTCATTATTTTCTCTGGGAAATGTGGGGCAGGACGCGGGGTTTAAAAACTTGGGGAAATGTTGCAAACTACTGCACTTCGCCCCGAGTTTTCTTTGCAGTCTGCAACTTGTCTCCTTGTTTTGCCCCACGTAAATGTTGACTGGGCAGTATTCTACAATTATGACATTCTTCCTTGTCTTTTGTACTCTCCTGCTATATCCTCTTGAGTGTTTTAGCCTATAGAAAAGAAGAAGGAATATAAAGTTCATAGTCATTTCGTAAAATAGAATGTGTCGTGGATATTCATGACTTCGATGCGATCATTTGAAGAGACTTGTCTCCTAAGGTCGTTATTCACAGGTGAGACCAACCATTACGGGAATCGTCCTGTGAATTGTTTCTAGAAAGTTTGAGATACCTCTAGAACAGGATCAGTACTTATAGTGGGGAAATTCCACCAGTATCGTAGTTGTTGTCGTTCACATACCCTTTCTTCATGCTCAGGCATAAGCTTTATCTCTTACCAAGTTAGTCAGAGTTTACTTCTTTCTTATTTATGTATTCCTCGTCATCCCCCTATTTCTCCAGATTTTTTGCATCACTACCTGTTGTTAGGCTGTCGTAGTCAGAACGGTGGTGCTCATAACTGTATGCAACTGAATACTAGAATTTCATGTAACCATACTCTCTTTACTACATAAAAGCTGTGACCATGAATAAAGGCTTTATACCTGTATGTTCTCCCTAACTGCTTTCAACTTTCCCGGCATACGATTTCAGTCTAGCTTGTGCAGGATTGTTCTTGAGTTAACCACCATAAAACATGTGATTTGAGTAGTTTCTGCACAAATTTATACCTCATTAATCTTATTTCTGAGCTTTTCTCTGAATCTTCATTATAGTGAGGGTAGAGGGTTTTTATTACATGGGAATATCGTATCCTAGGCTTTTGATTGATGATAAATGCTTGCCGAGTGGAAATAAATAATTTGAAATTGCTAACTAGCTGCACTGCAGAAGGCTAAAACCTAAGCTTTCAACTACGTAGCATGTAATTTCATGAAATGTGCAGGCGAGAAGTTTCGCAAAATTAATGCGAACAGTTCTGCACTTATTTAGAAACAAAACATTGTAGAAATTATGCAGTTTTCTTGGGGAAACCTGGCGACTTTTCATGACAATGTGTAGTTTTGGGACACTACACTAAAGGTGGGAAAATCAGCCTGAAGTTACTGTTTTCGCACTATCTCCAAATGCAGAAAACTTATTTACTTATTAGCTACGATAGCTTCGCTAATATAGCTTCTTATGGATATATACGCAATGTTTATGTACTCAGTATGGCATGAAGTAACTCAGAATGGGGCAAAATATCCACCGCTTTCAAGTCCTAACCCTACAGTATGCAGTTGCTGAAATCCGCTCAGCAACCTTGTATATACTCATGTAGTAGGCAATGAGCCCCATCTATTGTGTGACAGCTGCTCAAACCTCGGCAGGTGAAGCGAAGTTTGAACCAGTTATCCGTAGCAACAATACAAATAGTGATGGTGTTTGTTCATTTGTAAGTAGTTAAAACAATGAATCTGGAAATGAATGACTTTGAGATGTTTTCTTGCAACTTGTGAAGGAAAATAAACGAAACATTAGGATAGTAGCAATGCTACGTGGTAAGGAGATATAGAATCGTATATGCCTGTCTAAACGTCGTTAGTCGATACAAGATTCATAGCCACTGGTTAAAATTTCAATGCACAATCTATCGGCTCACAACTTTTTGGTGTAACAAAAGAAGTATCTACCATACAAAACCGTGCCTGAACTCGTTGTGTGTGTTTGTTGCGAGTTAGATAAGCGTAGTGCAGTCTTGAACAACAGGATTTTTCTCAGTAATGGTGGTTTAGTGTCCTTTGAGCTTTGATACTTTGGCGTGAACGTTTCATTAAGAAGTTAGTGCTAAAGATGTCACCAAGCTTGGGGATGAAACTTTCACAACAAAATATCAAACCTCATGGAACACCAAACCACCATTATCCTCATCCTGAAATACAAATTCTTTCCATCATTTCAACTTTTCAAAGTCTCGTGAAGATACTAGCAAACTCTTTTGTTTTTAACTTTCTAGACTTCCAACGTTATTCATCGAGCCGTCAGAAACTGCTACATTCAACGAATCACCTCTTGCTAATCATCGTGTGGTGTTTCAAAGTTTACCACTTTGACGACTTTTGCGTAGAATTGCATCATGGCTCTTAACAAGTACATGCATCAACGCAATATTTACAAGCACAAAAAGCCTAATTTTAAGGAATTGGCTAAACAGTTTGATTTCTTTGATGCAGTGGCTGAGAAAGATGAATGTGGTCGGGTTCAACTTGATTTTAGAGTACCGTCTCATCTAGCTGCATTATCCAAAGCATTGTTGATCAAGGATTTTAATCTAAACGTAGATTTTCCAGGTGATCGCTTAATACCGACTGTTCCTCTGCGTCTGAACTACATTTTGTGGCTAGAAGATTTGTTAAAAGGTAAGGTTTTAGTTGTTCCTCATATACTTACATTAGGCTTTCAAAGGTTTTCGGAGCCCATAAAGATTTTGGACATTGGAGTTGGAGCATCTTGCATTTATCCATTACTGGGATCAAGAAAAAACTCATGGAAGTTTTTTGGTACCGAAAGTGATATGAGAAACTTTAGTCTAGCCAAAGAAAACGTTGACAAAAACAATTTGAGTGAAGACATTAAGTGTGAGCATAGTTCTTCTGTTAATTGTCCATTACTATCAGTTTCTTGTTCAAACGGCCTAGATTTCGTCAACTTGTAATTACCTATCTTGTTCAAAACTGTTATCGCGTAAAGCCAACAAAATTTACATATACTCTTTCAAGTCCGTTGTTTTAGTGTTGTTTTGAAGGTCCGTAACTAACAACTTTCTTTTTTAGTCCCTTGGTACGTTATTCAGGTTCAAGAAGGATACTGTCCATCATCTTTACTGACTTAAGTTGAACATTTAGAGCGTACGATTTGGAACCTTATCATGACTGTATTGGTAATGAAGCTAAGTTGAAAATAACACAGGCGAATGATGTAATTCACAAACGTGGACGCAGAATGTTAAGCTCTTTTTGTGATCGAAATGATCTTTCACTGATTCATAATTATTCGACTGTCAAACTTATTAAACGTATTCTCTACTTTTGATCTTAATGAGTCATACTTATTTGATGATAGTTTGAGGTATTATCTCATATCTTGCCTGCGTCTGCAGTTGCTCATTAGTTTAGACAATTGATCTTGAATTTAAATCTTGTTCCACCCAGAAAGGTTTGGGTGAGACAGGATAACGAAAATTGAAATCAACTTGGAACCTTGTGCAAAAGTGAATCGGTTTAGCTCGCTACTCTCCATAGTAGCAAGTAGAGAACAAGTGGATAGAAAAAAATTGATATCAAATTAGGCAAAGGTGTATAGGAAAAGAAACAATTTAAAGATAAAGGTTAATAAAACTTCGAACTTTAAAAGACTCCGGACAGTAAGTACATCGTGACCAATTTTCAGCCATTTCACCAAGATTCCCCAACCAGAAAGCCTATATTCACCTGCATGACCCATGCCCACAGTCAAAGACTTCATGGGCCGACGCCATGTTTTAGTCTGGTTACCTCTAGTCGTTTTCCAGCCTAAACCTACTTCAGCTAATATTGCAGTTCAAGGTGAGAGAATGCTTGACATTGGCAAAGTGCATATGCTAACCACCTCAGTCAATGCAGGTTCTCGACCTCATCGACCGAATTTCATTCTTTGCTTACTAACCTTCGCATAACCTCGACATTATTCACACGGTGGTTCCACCATACATGAGCAGTGCTACGTAGACACCTGTATTCAAACGACTGTAATACCTTTACATCTACTTACAACTCCCCTAACTCAGCAGCATAACGGGATAGGACAGACTGCAGTGCAGTATACTCGTCCAAAAGTGAATAGTTGGATATCTCGCCAGTCGCCGCCGCAGTGGACACAAGCTGGCAAACGCCAAATGAGCCTTCTGTACCTCAGCTGGGATTTCGTCAGCAACTAGATCGTTCAGGCCGACACAACTTCCCAAGTAAGTGAAGTGGATGACACATTCAACTGCTTTACCTCTTATCCTTAAGGTGGGAGTAGCTACAGATCAGTCCTGAAGCATCACCGTGTATTTGAAAGGTGGAAAACATATGTCAAACGTAGACAGATTTCTGTTCAAGCCGTTCAGAAGACGCTGCACTTTATCAGCGTCTCCACCCAGCAGGACAATCTCGTGTGCTTACTCCAAGTCAACCAAATGCCCTTCAAGGAGTAAATGAATCCCTGTGAATTCAGAGGTACCTAAAGTTTCCGATTAGTTCATCTATAACGGAATTAAACGGGAACGGTAAAAGTGGACATCCCTGGCGAACAGCACTAGTTGACGTCAGTTCACATGACAACTCTCTATAAGCCCTGACACGACTGAGTGGTTTCGAGTAGAGAGCTTTGATAAGCATTATATACTTTCTCGGTACTCCCTTCACTATCAGACACTACCCAAGCACCTCATGGTCGACTGAGCCAAATGACACCTCCAGGTCAACAAATATGGCAAGTGTCGGCCGCCGGTATATCTGCCTTCCAGAACCTATCGGAGGTCGAAAATCTGATCGATGAACCCTCATCTAGCTCTGTATGAAACCTGCCTGGTTTTCTCCAGTTTGCTGTTCTCGAGCTCCAGTTAGACGCCGGATACCTATGGATCCTTGGGTCGTGGTCACAATGTTTGTCAAACTAATCCCTCTATGACTGTTACATGAAAATTTCTCTCTTATATACTGGGATGATCGATGAAGTATGCCAGTCTGTAATTCTCGCGCGTCACCTATTGCCTCCGTAACTCTACTCGATAATTTTCTACCTCCTTTAAAAGCTTCAGGAAATAAACCACCAGATTCTGCTGCTTCTCATGGTTTCAGGTTTGATTCACCCTTCTCAACCTCAAGAAGAGTTGGATGACTGGTACCTACGTCCTATTTAGTTTCAAGATGAATGTTGGGCTACTGAAGTATTGCTGAGTGGCAGTTGATCTATGCTCCAAATTGTTCCGCTTGACGTTCTACCGCTAATCCTGAGAGTTTATTAGACTCCCATCTTTTTTGGAGATGTTTTCTTCTTGTTAGTATCCTTAACAAGTCTAAATAGTAGCCGGGTATTACATAGTAGTGGAGCCTTTTCCATCTCTTTCACTTTCGCCCACCCACTACTGTTCGCTATCATTGCGAAGACTCTTCATCAATGAACGTTTGATCTACTTACTCCTTTAAGTGTGTTCAGAACCAGCTGGGATAAATCTGACATCAATTAGATCTAATGACGTTGCGGAAATTCATTGACGTCTACTAGCCTTTGGATGTAGGTTATCGACTGTCTTTACTGCAGTTTATGAGGTAGACTTAGTATCATGCCAGGTTTACTTAGTATGAGGATTGCTGTTACGTCCAGATAAATCCTTACCTATCTCTTTTCTAAATGCTTGCTTGATATTCTCATCTTCCAACCGATCACTCACAGGTTTTACTATTGGCTGTTTCCGGTACCTAGTAAGGCGAAGACTTACATGAGCCGTACTAGCCTATGGTCGGAGTCCAAACAGGTACTCCAGAAGCAGCAGCAATCCTCTACCTATCTTCTCGAACTATCTCGAATAGGAATGTGATCTCTTTGTGTCCGTTGTTGGTTTGAAGTCGATGGACACCATGTGAGACTGTCTCGACTAGTATTTGAGTTTAGTGCTGGCCAGAAACAAGTGATTGTCAGAGCGAAGTCTCAAGAGATGAATACAATTATCGCTTCGTTGGATGTGATTTCGTAGATAACTCCAAGTCGCCTTTCCGGTTGGCTCAACTTCCCTACTTGAGCTTTAAAGTCCCCTGCTATCATGTCTATATCCGAGCATTTTGTTTTTCGTAGTGAAGTTGACAGCTTTTGATAAAATTCATGGTTTGCATCGTCTGAACTGCAGTCGATGGGCGTGTAGGTAGGGATTATAAATAGGCATCAGCCAGTCTCACGATCTTTCTTAGTTTTTACGGATGCACTCAGTCGGACAGCACACAGCCAACTGTTGACTGTTATCCAGTCGAGAAGTACTATTTCTCCTCGAAAACCGAATGCTATACCTACACCAAGGCGTTCACGAAAGCTAGACATTGGATCTCGGGACACTTATAAAGTGGATTTTTTAGGTTTACTGCATTGGTCAGGTGAGATCAAGTGAATAAGCACACTGAAGTCCTGCATACATATCTCAGAAACACAACATACGCCCGTCGTCGAAAATTCCAGAGTTTTTGCGGATGACTGCTGTCAGGTTTGACATAGAGTTCGAACGTTGAAAGCTGCAAATCGATTGTGGGGTTTCGCGAGACTGGAGATGGTGTTTCACTGGCTAGGGTCGTTGGTCATGGTCACAGAATGAGAGGTTGAGGAAGTCGTAAAGGGCTTGATATTGGGGTTGGGAAGTAAAGGGGAGGAGTAGACTTAGGTTTGGAGTGTAAGTTATGTTTTATTAGATATTGTATTTTACTGGAAGCGTATGAGTGGTTCACACTTCCTGACTGCCGACATTGTGGAAGTTGCTTCTGCAGGGCACGTGAACGAGAAAAGGAAAACGATTTGTATGACCAGAGAGACCATGAAATATCTGCTTGAAGCTTGTCACATATAGCCGTTTGAAGACTTGACTGTTTTAACGTCGGTTAGGAAAAAGCCATACCACTATAAAACAGACCTTTCTGGTACGGTAGAACCTTGCAGCCAGTGTAGAGTGTTGGCACATTGTGATATGCAAACCTGACCACCATGACAAAGTAGGAGCTATCGATGAGGAGAGGTTTCAACGGCTAGGTTGTATCAGTCACCCTTAAATAATGGGTGTAGTTTTCCTTCTAGTCGAGGAACCTACGCTTGATTTTTTGGTGAAATTTGTTGATTATATATATCCTTAAAAGTCATTATAAATCATACTCATTTCCCCTTATCGCTAATTAAAATGTCTTTAAGTCTTTATGTCGAAATAACAGCATTCCAAGTAAAGCTCATTTCTAATCTCAGGTTGTTTCTTTGTTAGGATTGTTCACAGAAGATTACGACACCCGAAATTGCTTTAATGCCAGATTAACCTCTGATTAGATTGGGATATTTCTATGCTTTCTTCTCCTTGTTTACATAGTCTACAAGTTGATATTAACTGATATTTAATAGGAACTTCATACCTGCTCAAGTCACTTGGTTCATAAATGGCGAAGCAATGTTGGATTTTTTATCTCTGCTATGCAATCTCACGTAAATAATATCCACGCTGTTAAGTTGGCTTAACACGCTACTTCTCTGTTCCAAGTTACTGACTTAACTTTTAGTCATTTCCATATAGCCATTTCATTAACTTCTAACTGCATCATACGTTTCCTGAACCTATTATCCTATCAAGGTGACTCATAAAACCACTTGGTAAATCCTTGAATGTATTATAACTATTCCGAAGTGGACTCACTGTTCAGTTGGTATGTTTCTGTAGTTGCACATTACGTTCACATGCGAGAAGTATATTGTCATATTTTTTGAAGGTATTTGAAATGCTTTCTGGACTTCGCTGTTATATTGTCGCTTCATTTTGCTGGTGTAAAGTCATTGATCTTTACCTATCTAGTACTAAAACTGAAATACAAAAAATGTAACTTTCCTCACGAGAATATACACATAGCTACACATGCATGATTTGTGTTTATTATAGCGAATGTCAGTCAGTTAGTTAGTGACCACAAATTCATGTTACTAACTGGGATGCCAAAGCTTAAGTGATGTGAACTCCATTAGCTGCACAACTGGAAAGGTAATAATCGTATAGTGAAAGCTATTTCATACTTCACATATTACTCTGTCTGTTATGCAGACAGAGACAAACAGATTAAGTCAGCTGAAAACCTCGCATACAGTTGCATCGGCTCAGGTTGCCACACTTTGTAGCAGTATACGAAGAACAGGAGGATCGGGAAAGACTGGTATCAAAGTAAACAAAGGTGTATGGGCGAAGAAGAAATCTGAAAATGAAGGCTAATGAAAACATTCTAGCTTTGTAAGAGGTTAACAAGTTAATACATCTGTACCATTGTGACAGATTTTCAGCCATTTCACCAATTCTCTTCAACCACTGACTCCTATAGTCTCAGCGACCTCAACTAAGTAGTCTACATCTCCCAACATGGCACAGACCAGCAGTCAGAGACTCCATGGACTGATATAAAGTCTTGGTCTGACCATCCTGAACCCTCTTTCAACCTATTCCAGCTCCCCCTAGAGTGGTATATCGTGGTAGGTGGGTAGCTCAACGTGAGGAACACGTATCCAAGTCACCTCAGCTGATGAAGGTTCACAACTCATCAGTTGACTTTCCTGTCTTGCCTAGTACCTTTCACCGGACCTCAACATTCCTCACACTATGATTCCACCATATGTGAACGATGCTACAAAGCCACTTATGTTCAAAACCCTGTAAATAATGCATGTCGTCGATCTTTAAGGGGCGTCTCAAGCGTATAGTCGGATATTTCGCCAGTTCGCGCCAGAGATAACATGTGTTGGCAAATGCCAGACGGCCTCCTGTATCCAAGCGGAGATTTCGTCAACGACCAGACATTTTGATTTGATGCAACTCCCCAAGTAATAGATTTGGTCGATGCATTCTACCACCTCACTCTATCTTTAGAATAGGAGTAGTTGCACACCAGTTCTGCAGCATCATTTTACATTTGACAGGTGCGAAAAACGTGCCAAACATACTCAGACTGCCACTCAAAGCGTTCACAAAAACCTGTATTTTGTCAGCGTTTTTCACGTAACAGGACAACATCGTCTACATACTCCAATTCAACCAGATATCCTCCAAGGAGTAGATAAATCCCTGTAAAGTCAGATGTACCTAAGCTCATATCCATTGGTACGTTTGTTATGCATTTGATACTCACTAAGTAGATCAAGTTATGGTGTCGGACGGAAATCTTAATAATATCTGTTATCATTTAGGTTTCTTCTAACCATTTGTACCCTTCTTCAACTTTGCATTCCCCATATTATGTAAGTGTCTATTTTCTTTTAAGTATTTCATGTGGCTGAGAATGCTTCATCGTTGGATCTTATCTTTGGTTCAAATGGTGAGAATGAATCTAAGAATACAACGTATTTACATGCCGTTATGGCGAATCCTCCGTTTTTCAGTGATGCATCAGATGCTGTAGGTTCTAACACTTGTCGATCACTAAACAGACCTCCGCCGAAAACTGTTTCCTCCGCTGCTAGACATGAAAGTCAGACAACCGGAGGTGAAGTCTACTTTTGTATGCGTTTAATTCGTGAAAGCCTTCGTTACTCAACTCGTGTGGGGTATGTAACTATGTTGTAGTTATTTTACTGCATTTTATGGAAAAATATTTTTCTGTAACAAAAATGTTTAGTTGTAGTAAATTCAAAGATATGTAATTTATTTTATACTTTATTACAGCTGATTGTTTAAGTTTTGTTTTATTTATGTATATTTTGACTGCATTTCCTTATCACCTAACCTGTGCTCTTCGATAATTAAGGTCACGTAGTATTACTGAAATATAGCAGACTGCCTTCTGTATCCAATCATCCTTACTAATCCTGGGGCAACTTCCAACAAACTCTTTTCTCAAACTGTGACTAACAGCTGATGGTCGTCCGTATCTAATACGTTGGATGTGGATGTAAACCTGCAACTTAGTGGGCTATATAGATAGTTTGAGGTAGTAGATTCGAATCAGAAGTGGATTAAAGTTGTGCTGTGTTTATCTAACATATATTTGGTGTATTCTAAATAGGTTCTGCCTTAGTACTCAGAATTTTATCAACAAAATTGAGATAGTGTGTACGCTTAACTGCGTTTGAGAAAAATGTGGTGAAGAAAGCCATTCATTTATTAATTTTCATAGTTAAACTCCTTAGGTATCCCAAAATATACCGCTCATCCTTAACCTGACCGATAGATACTACTTTTATTGTGATATTCGGATTTGTATTTTACAATGACCTAACTAGCCAGTGGTTAGATAAGAAGCAGTTGCCGTTATAGGGTTAATAGCTAGGTTATGATAGGAGTCTGAGGGCGAAGTCATATTGGTGGCTAAACGGGAATTAGACAACAGCATGACCAGCACTACCGTGCGGATGCTGCCTCCTACATGGGAAAGCAGGCAGTTAGGAAACGTTTGCCCTCAAAATAGCACACTTCTCCCAGTTTGGGCGGTATGAGTTTTCTAGGTGGATTCAACACAAAGTTGAATCTCAAACTTCCACAAAAATCGTATGTAACCGACCTCAAGTAGATATCCATTGAGCTCTGTCGTCACACGAAGCTAATCCATTTTTTCTCTCATATACTCTACAGAAACAACTTCCATGATGTAGATAGTCAGGAAAGCACTAATTGGCCTCATAAATCTGTTAGAACTGAAGTTCCTTTATGTCATTACTTAACTTCTACACCTACCTTTCTAATTTTTACTCATAATTTTAGGTCAATATTCATGAGTCATCGTTAGTTTTTTGCAGCTCTGCAGCCTTTAATAATGGTTCCAAATCTAGGTTTCTGAAACCACACTCCAATCTTCGTAATCCATCTTTGAATTTCCATACCCTCCGTCAAATGCAGCAATAAGCTTCGTTCAGCAAAACTTCGGTATCTGAGTTCATGAGTGTCTGTTTTGTTAGTGAGACAGGCATACAATACCCAAGTGTTGTTATTCTCTAAACTTCATCCCGCAAATGTCGTGAATCTGCATAATTCACATTTAGGGATTTTAGAGATTTGATGACTAGTTCCCGTGGTCTTGCAGGTGTTGATATGTCGCTGAGTCCTAAGGCAAAAAATACCCTGCTTAGTTGGATTCCAGTTGATAATCATTTGTGTCGTGTTTGACTAAACAGTGAAGTGAAAATTAATAAGGACAGTGGAACTCACCATTGTCTTTTTGTAATCTTAGCTCACTCACCCATTGACTGGAGTTCAGATGAAGTGGAAGGTGAGCTCTACTGAAAGCTATCTAGCCTCCTAATGAAGGCAATGCACAAGTGGGTGGCCTCGGTCAGATACAAAAGCACTTGTATGACACTTTCCGAATCCCAGTCGAACGAATGGATGACGATAATTGCCTGCCACAACTGTGGTCAAAGAACCAACTATTTTTGGTTAGCACGAACTTCAGAAATAAAGAGAGGCGTTGTCTGATATGGCTTCCACCGACCTCAATTTAGCGCTGGACATAGATTGACCATATCGCTGTCAGTTTTCGCGAAAGGGTTGACGGAAGCGCTTACTTAAGTAGTGATCATGTGTTGGTTCGAGCACTTGCCTGTCTGCGCGTAGTTGCAGCAAGACCACTGCGAGTGCTAACTGACGATGAAAATAGGCTGTTTTCAGCAAGAAACTGGCTAGACAGTTATCGGGATAGGACAGTGTCAATCATACGGATGAAGTCTGATACCATCTCCAGTCTGCTGTATAAACAGCGTTGGAAATTGTAGTCGACTCTCAGAAAGTTGTTGGAATGAGTCAGTGAATCTCAGCAACTTCTGACTTTTTGAGTGCGGGTATTCGACCACTGTGGCCTTCGTAGACTGGGTCATGTGTCATCGTACCTCCATATATGTAACAAGGCAGGCGTAGGGTTTTAGGTAGAAGATGAAAGTTAGTCAAAAAGGTTATGAACCTTCATCGACTGGGGTTGCTAGAACGTGTGTTACGCAATGTTGGCTGAAGTAAGTTCATGGTGGAAAAAGGTTAAGGAATACCAGGCTAAATAGTGGCATCAGTTTGCGAAGTCTGACTGTTGGTTGAATTGTAAACTTCCTGGTCAAGGTTCACGTGACAAATGAAACCGGTAGTTATAGACTGTAGGTAATATGGCCCAATTAATCTCAGGGGCGCAGATGCATTCATATATTACCTCCCCGCTATTTGTTATACCGAATCTCATTAGCATCTGACTCTCCTGTTCTCTTAAACTTTCTACAACTCGTATCTACCTCCTTTTCCATATTTTTATGTTTCATATGTTTTTCATCTTGATGTACTGATACTAAATGTGACAACCTGAACAGTTACACAGTAATGTCAAGTCGTGTGGTGATGCTGACCGAGTGACTTACTGCAAATCAGTTTGTTGGCAGATACCTTATCTGTTGAGTAAGAGCACTGTGTTTAGGCAAATATTCTACTGAAGAACTTGAGTAATTAGAAACCACCCACACTGATCTGTAGGTTTCGTCAGCTAAATCAAAGTGATTTGTTTGGGACTGAGCCCATCAGCCATGTGCTAAGACAAATCCAACTCATACAGCTGAATCTGATCAGATGACTTGCATAGACCGATATACCTTAAACGGGATGATCAATTTGAAAATGATTTAAATCACTGATTTGGTTAGCGAAATCTCTAGGTCAAGCAGAATAGTTCCTGGCTACTCGAATTGTTCATTAGTGGTATATTTCGCCAGTTCGTGGACCTTGTGTCAGAGATCACATATACACACACCTTGTGATCTTATCTGCGAGATGATTTCTAACTGAAAACCTGTTGAAACCCCAGTTGGGTAGTTGGAAAACTATTCAACTGTGAGAAATGTCTACGTGGGACTGCACAGTGTGTAAAAATCATTTGCAAATTGATCATCCTACATTTTCATTTTGACTATCTAAGATAGTCGTGGTTTAAAAGACTAAAATTTGTGGTAGGTGATGATTGAAGGTGAAATGAAAATTTGGATCGCAGTCGGATTCGAGCTGGCGACCACCGGACTTCGTAGCTCAGTTGGTAGAGCATTGAGACAGGAACCCGGTAGTCGTTAATTCGAATCTGACGGCGGTCCAAATTTCCATTTCACATTCTATCATCACCCAGTATCAGTACTAGTCTGCCAAACCACAGCTATTTCAGATAGTCATTATGATGCTACCTCTCTCTAATTCAGTTAGATTTGGACTGGGATGAGAAATCCTGACTAGGCAGCCAGTGTGAATACGATCAAGCGGTATTAATGTATCACGAATTTACATGGTAGTCGGGCAAAACCCTTATTGGTTAAAGTGAAATCAAAATCTGTTCAGCAGTTGAACCTCGTAGATCAGTTGGTAGAGCATCGTACCGGAAACCCGATGGTCGCTGGTCCGAATCCTGCAGCAATTCAATTTTCTTTCATTTCACCTTCAATCATCACCTAGCATCCTACATTTGTTTAGCCACTTTTTCTTACTTTACAACAACAGCCTACAATGTTGTTTGCCTTCAAATATCTGACCTGAAAGGCAATAGAATGTTTACTGCATGGGTTACTTGGGAGTGAATCATGAAGTGATTGCTGAGATTTCAATAGTGCATTAATGTCCTAATCAGTACTACATTGTTTAGTATTAATTGAGGGGGGGGGGCGGGGTGGGTAATGAAGTTGATTGGAAACTTAGTGGGTTGTGACAGAATATGAACGAACTGTCTTGTAACTACAAACTCGATCGTCTAACAATACAGCTCAGAGATCGTACTGATGAACAGGTTCGATTAGCATTAAGCTTGCCGAATATAGTGTTGTTGAAAGTGGGTATCATCGTGAAAAGTTTCCCACTTAAGGCTTTTATCAGTGTTATGATGACTAAAAGGTTTCACCTGATTGACTATTGGATTCTGAGGAATAATTCTATTTTACTTTTATCGATTTCTCTGTTTATTAAGCAGATTTTGCAGTCTTCTAAGTCTTCTTCTTCTTCCCTTAAATTATTTTTAGTGTATTCACTATTATGTTGGGTAAAAAGTCAAGTGTCCCTTTAATTCGTCGAATAATGAACAAGTTGAAAATAACTCAAATGTCCGTGTATGAAATGTGTCAAGGTAGAATAATGCGCTGGGGTGTTGCATGGACTTTTCTGCCTAATTTTCCATTTCCTGTAAGTCATCTTTTTATGCTACTACTAGTTTCTTTTTTTATAAGTAGTCTATTTCAATAAGACATATATGGTTCTTATATTTTGTGGGAGTGATTGATTGTGAAAATTGATATTAATTTGTTAGCTAATTATTTCGAATTTTCTGCTTCTATTTATTTCGGCTTAGTAAAATTAACAGAGTCAACTCATGGAATTGACACTCGAACGAATAAACCTTTGAACATGATAGATACATGTAGTGTGTAGTGCATACAGTTAAGCTTTAAATTTTAGGTGTTTGTGAAAATTTATTTATTGATTTCCGGGTTGGAAATTCATCGTGGACTGATATTAGTTGGAGAGACATTGGAAACCTACGAGTACTGGATAGCTGTCTCATTCTAGTATGAAACTCCTCAGCAGTGCCCACCCATGACTCCGCCAGGGATCAGACTCAAGACGTTTAGGTTCTGCGGCCAGCACGTTACCATTGACCCACTGGGTCTGAATCCGATGGCCCATATTTTCCTACTTTTGTTAGTTCACGATATAGCACAACCTTTATCCAGTGCCATTGTTGAGTAACTATCTTCATCTTCAATTTGGTTGACCCTGCCAGTCACGACTTCTCATTAGAACTTTTGGAAATTTCATCTCGAAGCGAATCACTAATGATCACTACATTAATTCATTTTGGAGGTCTGTGGGAATTTATCTATTGATTTCAGGTTGGAAATTAATCGTGGACTGATATTGGTTTAAGAAACCCTGGAAACCTGTGAATACTGGACAGGTGTTTCATTCTAGTATGAAACTCCTCATCAGTGCTCCAGGAAACAATGAAGATATGAAATCACTGTGCTCTGATTATGATCTGAAAGCCATAAATAAGTGTGATTAGTTTCTGACTACTTATTATCTCCAGTAGTATGTTTATCATTGTATATTTGTGTCCCATAGTAGATACAATAGTAGTGCAGTGATTAAGATTGCAATTTTCGAAACTATGATCCTTAAGATGTATAATAATACTTTCTTATGCATAACCATAGTGAATGCTTATAACCATTTCATGCATTTCGTACCGTTGATACTTTCTAAAAAGTCAAGAACAAATGTATTTATTAATCAAAACTATATTATTTTATTGCATATACCTTCATCAGCTGAATACAACCTGATATTTACGAGAAAATCACCTGTATTTTCGAATGTGCAACACAATTCCACTGTGATGAAGAAAAAGGAAGTTCAAAAAGTCTTTAAAATAGACGTTTCTTCGATTCATTATTTTACTAGTATCATCAAGTTATCGGAAACTTTTAGCCTTCTTTTAACACAAAGAATATTATGTATATTCTTTATTCACTCGTTCTTTTCATTGCTACTGTGAAGTGTGACAGCTTTAACCGATACACTGGGTTCTTTGTTGATTTTGTCTATTTGTCAACTGAGATGGCGTGGACGTGTGCTGTGTCTGTTGATCAACCGCCTACCTTGACTTGGCATGTTAAGGGAAGTTGAATTAGGTCGGAAGCGGGTTCTGAGTGATCAGACAAACACGTGTTACTAGTCGATGAAGTCTGTTACTGTTGGATAGGGAGATATAGACTACCTGTTTGGGTTCCCCCGAGACAAAAAGAATCAATAGTTGAGGATTCTTGGAGACTGGGCTGAAAATATGTCACGGTAGCGCAGATGTATACAGATATGTATACAACTGACAGAAATTATTTCATTCTCTACGAAATTAGTTTGCGTCTACTTTGTTTGAAATTCTAGTGAATGATGCATGTTAAGACAAAGATTTTGTGAAGTATACTGATGACAATAACTGTCACAAGGGACTAAAGTAGTAAGCGCTCACTGAACTAAGCTTATTGATGAATCTAACCATTTTAGTTAGCAACATCTTCCCCATTGATTGACTATACCATTTGACATCGACTACTTCAGTGAATTCATAGCATCTACAAAAGAAGTAGAACATTTAATTGTCAGCGTGGGAGAGGGGGGAAGCGGGGTGATTTTTAGCAGAAAATAGTTGTCATTACAAGTCCTTTTTATATCGATAACCTCATGAATTGCGGTCAGTTGAATGTTACCAAATCGTTTGGGTGCTGTCAATAGTTGTCTGGTAGCCGTCGTACTTTTCTTGATGAGAATTACTCAGTTAGGTTATCATACCCATTTATGATTACTCGAAACAATAAATGACAGTTTGAAAGTGTTTAAGATTTATTCTATCACCTTATAAATCCAGATTATTGTTTTATTGATTAGTGTATGTCTATATTTCCTTAACCAGTCAAAAGTATAGTAGTTGAACGCACTGGTCACTTTGTGTATGGGAAGCTCATTCAGTCGTGATGGGGTCGGAGGGGTCGACGAAATCTTGCTAAGCATAAAAAAAAATGATGAACTAACTTTTGAAAACACACGTCACTTGTGATATCAGCGTATTATTTAAAAACCTTTCAGTAGTTGGGCTTATTTCAGAGCAGTTCATTTTGTTCCCGTATATGTCTGTAACACGTAGTCATTAGAGGTGGAGAACGTAAAAAGGTTAAAAAGACACAATCAGCACTACTTATGTAGAATTGATTAAGTGTTGTAGAACTGTTACATAAACAACATAGGGAGGCATTTATCATAAAGTCTTAGATAAAAACTATGAATTTTTATCAACTGAGGTGGGTCGGGACATGCTTTACATATTGTGAACTGCTGTGTACCCAAATAGTTGGAGACTTTAGGACCGATATCAGTAGCGCAGTTTGATGCATACATTTTCCTCACATTAACCGCTATACTTAATCTCATTATCTTCCCATTCTTCCTTCTCCTCTTCTGCTACTTTCTACCTCTACTCCGTTTGATCGATTTTTCTTTCCTTCCTCATCTTCCATTTTGGTTGTCTTGATGTAGTGATATGAGGTGTGGTAACTTGAACCACTATGCAATAATGCTCTGGTCTTATGTTGATGTTGATAATGATGTACCCAAATGGAATGTGTTATCTGAAGTAGAATGATTAGACTAGGAACTGGCATGAATCGATCAAGCTTTTTAGTGTTTTTTTCTGTGGTCTATAGGGAAATACTGGCTGTTTATGGTTATTGTCTGCATAAGGCTGATGTCTTGAGCCGGAAGTATTCGCCAAATCGGTATTCTGAATGATAAACTGAGAATAGTAGAGAAATCTTCTTGCTAAAATGAGTTATCCATAGAAGTTTACTTGGTTTACCACAATGCAAGCGACTTGAAGAAGGTGTGTATTTGCATATAACACTTTTGAATCATTGGTAATGAAACTTCAAAAATATTTTCTTCTAAGAAAATTTCTTCACTTCAGTCCAGTGTTGTATCATATTTACCAAACATTGTATAATTGGAAAACAGGTCAAGGAAACGCCACGACATTAAGACATTTTTATATACATTTCTCAATTCAACTTTCTTCTAGGTAGAACAATCCAGCTAACCTGTCATCGCTCTCTTGTGGTTAGGTAAGGCGACAATGAAATCTAAAGGTTGAATACTGCTTCGTATAATAACATGAGACATCAAATTGATAAGACCTCAACTTTCCCCATTCTGTGCAAGGTACTACCTCAATTCAACTGGTAAAAGTATCGAAAGCAATAGCCATCTGTTTTTAACCGAATATATAGACTCTACGGGTAACACAGCCCCCCCCCTTTCCCCCTAATTGGTCACTGGAAAGCGACCAATTTCATGTTTTCTACTTCTGAATACTTACCGAATTTTATCGATCAGTTTTACAATGTGGTCACCAAGCTAGGAGGTCCATTATTACTGTGCACCTTGATGGATGTTAGTTAGTTGGAAGCAATTGGTAGGAAATACTGGGAATAGATTTCGCCTGTCTGTTGGCACTCATCAGCAATGCGTATCTACAAACTGATGTTCCGCCTAAGATTTGAATTCCACGTCAGCTAATGTTGCTTCCTATGCGATGGCCTCCAAGCAAATAACATGCACCAGCAATGATTATCTCGGCCATATTGGATGAATGTCATGAATATTTTTGTTATTTACACTTATTTCAGTTATCATATATAGTTTTATGTTTCCTCACACAAAACAAAAGTGAAGATTCCATATTAGATTTGTTTATTCGATATAAAGCGCACAGTGATACAGTATTATTTAATTGATTACGTGTCGAGCATAAATTATTGCTCATAAATCATATCAATGTAATCACACTTCTTTCGATATCTGATTTTATAGTCCTGTCACCTGATCTCTCTTTGTTTTTTTGTCTTTTGATTGGTAGTAAAGTTTTCCATATCTCTGGTATAGGTGTTGCATCATTCCTATTACATGTGTTGGGTGTGGATTCGATGAACAAAGATTCAGTAATCAATCTCTCTCTCCACCTAGCTATATTAGACTTAAGTACAGGGGTTTTGTCCCATCCTATTGTGTGGTTGTGTGTTAATGAATGTAATGCAATGGCCGAGTGTTTTTCTAGGTTATTGATCTTATTGGGGTCTGCCGTTCTATGTTTAGCTAAATTCCTATATTCTGTTAATCTAACTGACCCCGACCGGCTAGTTTGACCTATGTATTTGACTTCACAGTCATTACATGGAATTTGGTAGATTATATTATTTTGCTTAATTGGTTCTATCGGATCTTTTAGCCGACAAAGCTTACCTCTAAGAGAGATCAGGTGACAGGACTATAAAATCAGATATCGAAAGAAGTGTGATTACATTGATATGATTTTGAGCAATAATTTATGCTCGAAACGTAATCAATTAATTAATACTGTATCATTGTGCGCTTTATATCAAATAAACAAATCTAATATGGAACTACATTCTACCACAGTGCCCAAGTCTTTCACTTATATTAAAAGTGAAGATTGACTCTCTCGATTGTATAAACCATTGTATGATCTTATTTTTCATCAGCAATTTTCTTCTCCTGAAATCATGTCTATTCAAAATCAATATCTGACTGACTTTAAAGGCCATCCTGTTGACTGTTGAGATAACTAATTAAGTTTTCTTTATTCTATGGCAGAACTATCTTTCTAGCTGGTGAATGAAAATGTGATTGGTTATTTCTACAGTGGCGTTTAAACTTACTTCCAAATTTATTAAAGACAAAAGTGAATCCGGATGATATCGCTTAACCTGATGATGAAACATGCAAGAAAAAAACCTTGAACCTCTGGAGAATTATCATCTTCATCATGACCATCTAAAAATCTTATCAACACTATCTAAGACAGAAGTAGCGAATGTCTGTGTTGTTTTCGTCCGTTATTATATTAAATCGAATTGGAAATTACTGAAATTATCTATCAGATTAACTTGTGTTTTCCAGTTATCAATGGAATCAACTCCATGGAGTTCAGTGTTATTTCGACATTGACCATAGACACATTTGTTTCACCATCTATACCACAGGCATTATATAACAAAGTTACTGAGGTTTAATACCATGCTTAATTCAATAGGTGGGGAAGACCATTTTCAAAGATGATTAATTTGTATATTTTGAAATGGTGGAGAATATTTGTAGCTCAGTTGGATAGTCTTGGTTGTATTCTTTTCTCTGAGCTGGGTTGTTTAATCATGAAGCTTTCGTCGTCTTTCTAGACGACATCATCAGCATTAACTTCAGGCTGGAAAAAGGCTCTAGGCGGCTAGTCTTTGACTGTTGGTTTGAGCCATGTGGGATGATGCGGACTAGCCAGCTAGGGTTCGCAGGACAAGAGGAACCAGTGGTTAGAGACTCTAGGTGATATGGCTCAGAATCGAAGTCAGTGGCGTAGATGTATACATATTATCCTCATCTTTACGACGCCATACCGAATCTCACCGTTTTCTCACTCTTCCTTTCTGTTGTTTAATACTTTAAATTTGTTCTGACTGCATTTTCTTTTCTTCATCTTCCACTTTACTGCCTTTTTACTTGATGCACTGATATGAAGTGTGGCAAGTGGGATCGCTATACAGTGATGCCTGGTCCTGTGTTGATATTGCTGATGATGCACTAACTTCATACTGAAGTTAGTGCAATATAATATGTCGGCTTTTATTGGTAAAGTAACAATCAGAGATAGTATTCATTGATACCTTTTAACTGGCTAAAATTGTAATGGTATTCTTGTTTATTAATTATTATTTTTTCCTTTAAAGGAATCTGATTTTCGTCGACTTCGTAAAATGGAACGTCCTCCTCTGACATACCAATTACCAAATCCAGTATCTTGTCTTCGTGAAAATACAGTAGAAGCTCTTCTAGATTGGTTAAGATGTGAATTTAAACAGTTGGGGGTAAGTTTATAGTGTGAGGATTGAAAAAATATTTTGCTGTTATTTAATTTTCAGGTGTGTGAAAATTCATTTATTGATTTCAAATTGGTGTTCGTCATGGAGAGAACCATTGAAAGCTGGGAACACTGGACAGCCGTTTCGTTCTCGTATTGGGGCTCATCAGTAGTACACACCCACGACCTTCAGATTCCATGACCAGCGCGTTACTATTGAGCCACCGGCTCAGATTCCAATGTTACTTTGTGTTTTTCTATTGCATTTTGAATCACCTAGTTCCAACTAAGAGACTCTGAATAATACTTAGGGACTTGATGGCTACATCGATCGCCATTCAGTGGCCTATTCTTGTACATGATCAATTAATGACTTGAATAACTTACTAGGAATATCTATAGTTGTGGCGTTAAGTCATCCCATGCAGGTTTGATACTCCAAAGGTTCATGAGCGTCCTCAAAGTTCATGATATGCCTTGATGATGATTAACATTAAGGGTGAAACTAAAGTCAAATACGACTTCCTCCTCCGCCTATTTTAGCTTGTGTTATACCGGTTGAAGAAGGGGAGAAAATGAATCTCCAGTTCCCTCGAAATTTCAGACATACCTTGTTGACATGTACCAGCAATCACGAAACCCTAGATCAAGCAGGGCTTCCTGTCAATTACCTCTAACCAAATAATGAACCTCTCCACTTGGTGACCACATTGTAGAAATGATCGATAGAATTCAGTCAGCAGTCAGAACTAGACAATATGAGATTGGTCACTCTCTAGTGACCTACAGGAGGTTAGTGGTAATGTTGCTGACTACAGCACTGGATATCGAGGGTTACTGTATTATACAATACGTCAGTTCCGTTGAGGTTGCAAATAGCTCTTACCGGCAAGTACTGAAAAGCAGAAAACCTAGGTCAAATAGCTAATTCCCCTTGTTCTTTTTCTACATCGTCAACGAACTGGCTTACATTTACTACTGAGTTTGTATATATGAAGAAATTGTCGATATGTTCAAATTCCAACATAGTAAGTATGTCTTCTACATATCGCCATCATATATTAGGCATAGGGTTGTACATTCTTAAAACTGCTTTTTTTAACAGGTGCGATACAGTTCATTTTAGAGGTAGAAAATCAACAATGCGAATTAGCTACGTTGAATCGCAAAGCTAAACGAAGAACAGAACTATAGGAAAGTGATGTATTCTAACAGGTATATAAACTTCAGGTCATCTCATCCAATGTCAGTTAAGGGGGATTTAGCCAAGTATCTAAATAATGTAGCTAGAAAACTGACTAGTCACTCTAAGGACCTAAACAAGGAATTGAAACACGTAAAAAAAGCGCTAATAGTTAATATTTATCCTTTACCGTTTATTAGGAATTTCGTACAAAGACATCGGAAACGGAATAATAACAGTAATATGAATACGAGTAATAGTAACACCACGAGTAGAAAGGAGTTTACAGCCTCTATTGTGTTACCATGTAAGGAAGGAACATCGGAAACTTTACCTAGAATCCTCAACAAAACTGGAATTAGAGTGGCATTTAAACCTACAAATCCACTCAGAGATAAGCTTTGTCGGCTGGCTTAAGGATCCGATAGAACCAATTCAGCAAAATGATCTAATCTATCAAATTCCATGTAATGACTGTGAGGTCGAATACATTGGTGAAACTAGCGAATCGTAGATTATCGAAACATAGGAATTTAGCTATTGCAATGCATTTGGAGACAACCATACAATAGAGTGGGATAAGTCCTATGTAGTCAGGTGGGTAGGAAGATTAATTATTGAATCTTTATTCATTGAATCAAAACCCCAACGCATGTAATAGGAATGAGGCAACACCTTTACTGGAGATACGGAGAATTTGGATACCATTAAAAACAAAGCATGTAAGGGGGGAGGGAGGATAGAACTATGAATTTCATCTGTCGAGAGGTGTGTAATTACTCTGATATGAATATGAGCTGTGGTTTTTACTCGAAATATCATCAAGTGAATAATACTGTATCACTGCATGCTAACTATATCAAATAAAACAAATGTAGTATGTCATATTCACCTTGATGATTTTCTTTGGAATCAATGACGCACGTCCAGTCCTATTTGAGTGTCATTGGCTGGATGTACCTGAACCCCAGTGGGATGGTGTTATTCCCACTGAGACTGGAGGCCATGACTAACCGTTTCAAACACTGAATCGTTATTCACTAGGTGACTGTGATGAAACAGATATATCTTATTGTTTATCAATACTTGTAATGATAATAATGGTTAGTACCTAATGTTTCACAGCATTCAGATCACATCAACGTTTTTTTTAATTGTTAACCGGTAATGGAATTATAATCTACAAGAATTTATTGTCACGTAATCATTGTAGCAATAAATGATATGATGTTAACTCTCAGTTGAATTTTGTCACTATAAGAAATAGTTCATCAGTACTGAAGTAGGTAGCAATGTATATAAACTGCTTCATGTTTGTAGATGATAAATGGATGATATCTTGAAATTTGGTGGATCCCATATGTCCTGGAAGACATTCATTATCTATAAGCACCACAACCATAGAAGGGACTGATAATTTATCCATGTTTTTGTTGATGATTACGAAATCTTTAATTCTAGGATATTCGTTATTAGACTGGATAAGGAATTTATAAAAAATGTTTTTACTATTTCTGTAGATGAAAGTATTGGATCAAAAAAATCGTGCAGAATTAGGCGGTGTACACTTAAATATCACAGCTACAGTAAATACATGGACACATGTTAGACGTAAACGACGAGAAGCTCAACGTCTACTCATATCTAATCAAATCGACGCAAAAAATAATGGAAATTCAACAAATAATGATTGTAATTCTACTGAAGAACCTATGGAAGTTGGTGTTGTTATAGATGTTAATCCTAAAAATCCACTAAAACGTATTCATCATAATGATTCATTTGAAATAGAATCTATATCAACATCAACATTACAAACAACAACTACAGAGATGGGAACAGACATATCAGTGATAGAAATAGCTAATCAATCAAAGCGTATACGAAAATTAACTCATGCAGAGATATGTGAAGAAGGCGAAGATGCTTGGGACAATGGAGATGAGCATGATTATAATGATAATAATAATACTTGTTCAAGTAAGATGTTATCTACACCTTCTTCTACTGATTCATGTACACATTTGATTCAAGCAAATGTATTTGTTGAATATTTGAACACAGATTCATTTCAAACAAATGAGTTAATATCATCATCGATGTCAACGTCTTGTCTATTTCCGAATGGAATAAACAACAACGATTATGGTGATAATATTCAAAAGAATGAGAAGAGTAGACAAGATGCGAGTGACAATGGTAATGATCATGTTACTGATAACGCCACTGCTGTTGATGATGATGACAGTGATGATGATGATGATGATGTTATTCTTCAAGAGGATCATGGACCTTTAGTGATAAAAATTGCATGGGTTAATGGTACATGTCGAGAAGCAGCGAATCAAATTCTGTGTTACTTGAAGAATCGTTTAAAATAACTCGTTACTTTTTCTATGCAAGTATTTAAGTTTTTCTTGTTGTAAATAAAAATGTGTGTTGTTCTTATGCACATCATATGGATATTGAGAGACTAAGATGAAGAGAATTGTCATAGATACTGTTTACTGGTAACTGCTTCAATTGTTCTCATCATTATTTTTGTACAGTATTGAATTAAGTATTCTATTTTAAATGAAATGAAAGCTGTTTCCCCAAGAGTTTTATCATTTATTGTTAAACCGGTTGCAAACGTATTGGAGAATGGTTTTGACTGGGGATAAAGTGAAATCGTGCTAAGGAAAAATTTCACGATCATACTAATTATTGCAGACAGTGAATACTTATCACTGCGATACTATAATCACATCATTACAAAAGGGAAGACAAGACCAATGAAATTGAGATTTATTCTTCTGGAAAAGGCAAAAGTTGTCTGCTCACACATTGGATGATAATAGACCAATAGAATGCGAATGACACGACCTTTGACCAAGGTTAAAGATGAAGAACACTGATCAATCATCTATCTTTCTGTCCGTTATAACAAAACTGATAAATTATTTCTCGAATGCAACTTATATCAAGCACTAATTGCCTTCAACGGTAAATGTTGATCCAGCTTCGCTTAGAGAAATATTCGTTGTAGATCTTTGTTGCACGCATCAAATGAAGTTATCCTAGCGGTGTATTAGTTTTCATTTTTGCTTTATGCAGATAAAATAGTACATAAATGAGTTGAACATATTGACCGCTTCAGTTATGTAGAAACTCTAACCATGGTTGGTTGTTGCCTGAAAAAATCTTGGAGCTGGGATGGCTTAACCATGAGGCTTTCATTGTCATTCTAGACAGCATTATCAGAAGGAAGTGACCTATGTGGTTTTCTTTCATAAGTGGGCTAGTAACTTGTCCTCATTACCTAGCGTGACTGGTTGTTTCTGCCAGAGTCTCCTCATTGTCTCCATATTTATTTTGACGGCATCAAATTCACAATTGAAACTGAACCAAAAAACAAAGTTACATTTCCAGATGCTCTGATTACTAGAACACGGATTCGGAGAAATTGGAAACTGAAGTATGCAGAAAGCCAACTCATATGGATCAAGTTCGCCATTATAGTAGCAACAATTCAGTAGCACACAAAACGAGTTGTATGAAAACATTGTTGAAAAGAGTGAAAACATGCTGTAGTGCATCAACCCTGTGGAGGAAAGGAGAAAACTATTTGATGACTGTTTTCTAGAAGAACAGCTATCCACACAACTTCGTGAATCAAGAAGTCAGCCTCGAAAGTCAATAAAGGGATTGTCCTACTCTACATGAAGAATGTCTCCGAGATCACGATTAGATTACTGAAGCTTTTTGGAATCAATATATCTCACAAGCCCAAAAGATCTCTTCACTCTCTGTTATCCAGGTAAGAAGATGCAGGAGCAAAGGAAGACAAATCAGACAATAATCTACAAAATAAACGGTGAAAAACATTACATCGGATAGAATGGTCTCGCTCTTCTCATCCGTGTACATGAACATCAACTAGCTAGCAGTGAAGCGTCATGATATATCTTCACCCATATCAATGCATACAGACAACTGTGGAAATCCTTGACAAATGAAATACAAAGAATGTGAGAGAATTTTTAGAAGCTTGGTATTCAGGTGAGTCAACGATCAAGAGACATTACCATTAACCCTATCTACCAATCAATGACAGGCAACAAGAGAGTCAAAGTTCACGTCAGCAGGACAACCAATCGATATAAATGTAGAGGCAGTGAAAAGACTTAGCAGAAAAAACTAGCTACATCCCAGGTCACCTGGAAGAGCTACTAAGCCACTTGTGAAGGAAACCGTATAGCTAACTTCTTACTGAATGTTGTGGTGATGTTGTTATCTAGAATGACAATGAAAAGCTCCACGATTAAATCATGCAGCTCAGAGAATACAATACTATGAAGGTATAAGAGGGCTCAATAGGTTCTACCACCGCTGTTTTACTGCATTGACCAAGTGTTGTAGAACCAGTACATGTTAGACATAGAGGTAGTTTGGCGGCGTCGTCTTGTGTAAGTAAGACGAGCCGGTCGATAAAGTTCTAAATCTTGATCAATTCAAGTGGGTAGGATTTGCCTTACGTATATCAATTCATCGTATTCAACGATTCACATCCTTCAATGAAGTAGGGTTAACTTGGAAAAAAGTCAAGAGTAGTGTAGTAAGCCATAGCACGAGACTGTGACAGTTTCTTTTTGGGTGTGTAGTACAATGTTGGATTCCAGGATTCTCATGCTTAACCGAAACTAATAGTTTGGTAATCGTGGTGATGTCTCGAAATCAGTCAGAGTGGTGCAGACGCATATCACATTTACTCTCTTCTAATGACTCTACATACTCACCAAGCTTGTGCACGTTCGTGCAGTAGACAGTGAGCCACACGTATTGTGTGAGGGCTAGTGATACTACCTGGCTGTTCAAACTTCGGTTGGTGGAGCGGGGTTTGGACCTGTGACCCAGTGGTTGTTTCTCATCTCCCTAAACTAATGGGCCACAGTTCCACACATTTTAAACCTACATCTCTGTATTTCATCTTGTTGCCTTATAGCTTGATCTTCTGATGCAAATTTCGGTAACTTGAACGGATGTACAATAAAAGCAGGCGTAGGATTAACTCTGACTAACTGAATACTACAGGTCTCAAAGTATTTCAGGCAATATCTATGGTGGTTCCTAGTTTGTTTATTCACTCTATATATGCTCATCTGCAAGTCATATATAATTTGTCAGGAACTGCCATGCTGGTTTTGGCCGTTAACATGGATAGCAAACATTATTTTCAACTTGGTTTATTGAATGATTTGCCTCAGAAAAGATATGTATGTATCAACTTACGTAACTAGTTGATGCTTCGAAGACATCTTACAGAGCCTGAAAAATCCTGATTTTACCTGAAGAATTCAATATGTGACCTGTTAAGAAGTATGTTTCATCTCTTCACCGACTATTTGATCGCAACAGTGCATTCTGCTCCAATTTACTGACACTAGACAATTGTTTGAAGTCCGCAACCACTTATAGGTCATCATTTCCTCTATAACTTCGCTTGTGCGATATAAGACTGTCCAGTCGTACTGCTTATGTCAGACTGAGTTTTGGATACCTATTCTACTATTTTCTTTTAGAAATTCTTTCAGTGCACTACAAAAACCATCGTAATCTAGTTTGTGAGGTAGTCCAATATACACTAGAAATATATGAATGTCCGATATACTACTTGCTATTCAATAGTAATAAAACGTTTTCCACAAAATATTCACCTACTCCATTGAGCTGTAATTATATGTGGACTGAGCAAACATCACTCCGCTTATCAGAAAGGTAAGGTGCTTTTGTGGTGAATTCACATGATCGATTTTTATCAGACTAGACATAACAGCCCTTTATATGTTTGACTAAAGACATACTAACTGATATACACGGTATAGTGAAGTTTTCGATGTCATCTTTATTGAAATATACGATGTGATATAGGGTCAACCAACTATTATTACAAGTTCGCAGTGAAAACTGGTCAGGGGCGATAAAATTCTTCTTTATTTCCAGCATTGTAACTAGTGGAGTTGTACAGTATTCGGTGGTAATCGAATTTTGTCCATTAAGTTTTCAATGGGGGTATCAAATTAAGCGTTATTACATTTTGCCGCTTGATGTAGACTTCATGTTTGGTGTCCCTCATCGCCGAGGCATATCTTCAGCCTTGTGTAATTTGATGCCCCTCCCCTGCGACCCACAAGTGTGTCATTTCCTGTTGCGGCAATAGGCTTCAGCATTAAGTTATCGAGGGCATACGTAACCCATGTAGGACTGAACTACGTACAGGTAACCGTGTTGCGGAGGTAACCGATGGAGTGAACAACTAATCATAGCTTATTAGTCTGCCGATCACGTTTTTCTACCTGTCATCATGACAAGTATATCAATCATTTTTTTAATGTGCTATTCACAGACTATCTTCTAGAATATTTTCTAATTCAACTGGTGGAGTGGAACAGTTGGTAAAGATTTGAGTTTGGCGGTACTTGATCTGCGTAACCGATATTCGAATCATCTTACATTTGTTTACTTACAACACACGCAGATATCACTAAACAGGTTTAAGTGTCTTAGTAAACCTCTAACATCACGCACAAACATTTTGCTTGTCAAATGAGCGCTCAATCTAATGAAATTTAATTTACTATAACTTGTAATTGCTCACCAATCCAGAATTACAATAGGGGATCATAAACATCAATATATAGTGATAATAACCGATACTTGCTGCTATTATGCCCCATTGACCTAGCGAATAACGCCTCGGTGTTTGGAGTGCTGGGTTTGAGTTTCAGTGGAGATTACATCCGTCACTGGGGGGAGGGCAGTTATGTCCAGTCTACGAGTCAGAAATAGGACGAAACCCTCGTCGCGGATTCCACTGCCAATCAAATTGAAGCATGGATCAAATGCTATTTGTGTTAGTTCATATCAGTTAGTTTCTCTCATGAATTCGCAAAATGTGTTACGAAGACGGAGGTTAATGCGATACTATTTGAATAAGCTGAACACGTACTTAATAGTCAAATCCTTTTATTCTTTATCCTCCAGTCTAACGTCTGTGGAAGAGTTGTCGGTAAGCATTGATAAAGTTCACTTCAATTTCGAAGGTGAACATTTCCGAAAAATTGATGACATGACTATGCATAATATCGTTAAGTATCACGGTTGGCCGGCTTTTATGCATCACATGTGGACAGTTTGACAAACAGTGTTAATAATGACTTAATAATGTGCAACGGGGATAGTAGTGCAACAAGTCTGTTA